GTTGTTGGGGACCTGAAATACTTTGTGTTTGGAGGTCTGCTGGTTGTCCCTTGAAGGCTGAAATAGTATTTCTTACTCTAGAAAGTGCTGCCACCGAGTTGGACTGTCACGGTTATCAAGACTGAACTGTTTTTGTGAGCTGGTTGTTGTTGCCGATTCAGCTCAAACTAAGTTCATCAAGATTCCCTATACCTTGGAAAACTTATTAAAACCCTAATTGGAGCCTTTGCATGATGGATTCCTCGGACTTTGAAAGCAAGAGTGCTGCTGAATATGGATAAACTTTGGGAACCCCAGCCGATTCTATGTTGGCTGTAACTACAGTTAAACTTGATGGGACCAACTACTTGGCATGGTCACAATCAGTGAAAATCCACATTTGTAGCAGAGGAAAATGGGGGTTTATTTCTAGGAGCAAGAAAGCTCCCCCAGAGAATGATCCATCTTATGAGAGATGGATGCAAGAGAACTACACAGTGATTGGGTGGCTTGTGAATTCAATGCAGCCACARATTAGTCAACACTATCTTTGGATGAACTCGGCTAAGGAAATCTGGGATAGTGTTGCAGAGACCTACTCCCAAAAATTGAATGTTGCCAGAGCCTATAAACTAAGGAGTGATGTGAAGAATCTAAGGCAGGGGGAGAAATCACTTGCAAGATACTTCTCAACCCTGAAATCTCTATGGCAAGAGATTGATCTGATAAAGGCTGTAACATGGGATACACCCAATGATGCTGAAACATACAGGAAATTAGTTGAAAGGAACAGGGTCTTTGAATTCCTAACAAGGCTGAATCCTGAATATGACATCACACAGCTGGACATTTTGTCCAAGGAAAGTGTTTCATTATCACAAGCATATGCTTTGGTCAACAATGAAGAGAGTAGAAGGCAAGTACAGGTTCAAGGAGTCAACACCAATGATCATTTTGCAAATATGGGGGTTAAACCCAAAGGGATTATAGGAGCTCCTAGTGGCACAGGAAAGAAGGAGGTGGTCTGTGAATATTGCAAGAAGCCGAAACACACCAAGGACAAGTGCTGGAAATTGCATCCCAGTCTTGTCCCTATCC